CTTTGGGTGGGGGGCAAGGGGCAGTAGGTGTGGGGGGCAGAGGCTTTGGGTGGGGGGCAAGGGGCACAAGCCAGGGCGTCCTGACATGTACCCCTTGCCCTCATTTTGTTTTTCTGCCATGTCAGCACTCCAGCACCTTCCAAGGTAGGCATTATGGTGTTTTTCAGCACTGTAGCCAAAAAACATTGCCTACCCCTGTTGTATAGAAATACCAAATTAATTTTATTGAATGGCTTTTTTTTGTAGTATCTAGCCATGGTTATTTTAAATCCTCATTTAGTCATTTTATTTACTTTGTATTATGTTACATTCATAGATTTAGCCTCCTGCACTTGGGCATTGTTTTACTTCTTTCCCCCCCCCCCCCCCCACGTTACATGTTCCTCCCCCCCCCCCCCCCCCAAGTGCCATAAAACTTATACTCGACAGGTTCAGCCTGTCCTCAGGCTCCCTACGTAGATTTCATAGATTTCTAGGGTCGGAAGGGACCCCTTGCTCTAGGCAGGAAAGAGCGCGGGGGTTAAATAACCCCAGCTAGGTGCCTGTCTAATCTTTTCTTGAACACCTCCAAGGTAGGGGAAAGCACCACCTCCCTTGGAAGCCCATTCCAAGTTTTGGCAACCCTCACCATAAAGAATTTCTTCCTGATATCAATCTAAATCTACTTTCATTCTTGACTTCAGTACTTTCAGTATTTTTGTGTGTTATAAAAATGTCAATTCTTGATTATTTGATTTTTCTATGGGATTTTGCTTGGCAGTAGCAGTTCAAAACCTGTATCTGTAGTTACTGACCTGCATTCAGGGAAAAAAGCTCTTTTTCCTAAAATTGCACCTGAAAATGTGAGCTCAACTTATCATAACCATCTGGTTCCATTGTCAATTAACTTTTCTGTTTCATTTTACCCTGATAGTAAATTAGATGTTTTGTCTTGGGTTAAATGTCAAACTCTTGCTTTTTTGTTTCATTCAGCTCTATGGTGAATTTGCTGACCCTTTCAAGCTCTCAGAGTGTAAGTTGGCAATTATACATTGTGCAGGCCATTCCGACCCTATCTTGGTGCAGACTCTCTGGCAAGAAATAATTGAAAAAGGTAAATCTTGAGATGAACATGGTTTTGAAGAAAAGAATAACTTCCACCTTTAGAATCTTCTGATCATATGCTGCCCTTAGTAATGTTTCACATGGGATGTTAAGCATATCTTTTCAGAATGTTTTGCAAAATACTTTGAAAGTCTTAACATTTAATGTATTGCCTTCAGAGTTTAGGAGTTTTGTACAACTTTCAGTTAATCTTTCAATATGAAGAGCAATGCAGAACAAGACTTACAGACAGTTTCCACAAAGAGCTCATAGTGGGGCTGGGGCTTGGGTATTACCTGCGGCAGTAGAAATTCAGGACTGTAAGACAAGTGTACCAGCTTGTATTACTTAGAACAGGGGTTTTCAACCTTTTTTAAGAAGTGTACCCCTTCTGGTGGCGGCAGCCAGATGGCGGGGTGGGGGCAGGGGGACTCGCACGCAGCAGCAGCCACCCACCACACCACACTGCTACTGCTGCCACGCCCCACCCCACATTCCCACAGCCAATCGCATGTGTGGCTCCACGGACTGCTGACGGGCCTCGCACCTGGCCAATCACATGCTGCCTGTCAGCAGCCTGTGGAGCCACATGTGTGACCTGCTGTGAAAAACCAGTGCGTGATGGTGGGCGGCGGCCACATGGGGTGGTTGATGGTGGCAGCAGCTGCCACGTGCGAGCTCTTCCCCCCACCCCCCATGTTCGGGTGGCTGGGCGGCACCTGTGCGGTCCACAGAGGGGCACTGCTGCCCTCGCACCCCACCCCCCTGCCCTGCTTCTGGGAGGCGGCAGTGTGGGGTGGTAGATGGCAGCACTCCGTCCCCACCTGCCTGCACATATCCCCTAAGACCTTTCCAAGTACCCCTAGAGGTACCCCTGGTTGACAAGCCCTGACTTAGAAGGTGTATTGTTATTTATATTACTTAGAAGATGCTTTGTTAATGGAAGGTGCAATGCAAATCATAACTCCTTATTTAAAAATACCAAGAAAATTACTTTACTTTTCATTTAAATAGTCTTTTTTAGTAATTTTACCTTTTTTATACCGTTTTTAGATGATGGCATTAATTGGTATATTGAAATTGAGCTACGCTGGTTTTCAGTCTGTTTTATAAATTAGATAGGCATTTTTCAAAATGCATCTCCATGTCATCCCATCTATCCATCATCTCTCGCCCTTCACTGACTTATCTGCAACCACTTCTTCCTAAGAAGGGGCTGAGCATAACTTTTTAGATGAATTACTAAACACCAAAAAAAATGTCTTATCATAGAGGACCACTCACCACTGACCTTAAATTCTGATCTGAGCATTAATAGTCCTCTGATAATCCATTGCACTAATTCTCCTGTTAATGGCCATTATAAGAAGTATTTCTCAGAGATGGCTTCACAATCCCTGCAAACATTTATTTGGATGTTTCAAGATAAGGAAATTTTGCTCCTCCTCAGTATATGTTTTGATTTAAAACCATAATGTGAACTATTCTGTATTTATGAATTTTGATAGGAATGGAAACAAAATCCTTCTGTTTATCTTCAGAAAAGTTAAAGCACTGGTTACAGCAGTGCAAGCTTCCTCAAACAACTCTATCAATGTGCCTTAATTTCTAGTATGAATGGGAGATTCCCTCTCCTTGCACCTTCTAATTAATAATAATAACTGTTATCTGTACCATAAGTTAACAGATCTCTATATGGGGTTATAAGAAACTTGGTTTTGAGTGTTAGCAGTAAGCACAAATACAGCACTGCTTTTTTTAATTATACTCTATCATGTTTAAATGCAAAAATGTATTGTATGCTCTTTCAGAATTGAGTGACAGTGTGACTCTAAGTCCAGCTGACAGAATGCAGGCTCTGAGCTTGAAGATGGTATTGCTTGGAAAAATATATGCTGGCACACCTCGCTATTTCCCATTAGGTAAGTAATTTAATACACACTCACACAAGTAGAGGCTCTTAAACTCACTGCCTTGATACCTCTTTTTCTTCAATTTTTGTAGCATTGCCTAAGAATTGAAATACACAGACACTCGTAAACTTTTTATGGTGCAATTTAAAAGAACCTCAGTATTTCTTTATGTATAAATACTTTTGTCTCTAATACATAAGCAAAATATGGTTAATCGGTTCTAAAATGTCTTATTTCATTTCACTCAAAGAGAAGCTGAATTTATTTTGGACAATTATGTAAACAAGGCATTTGAAAGTAAAAATATGGGTGTATTTATGTAGACAATATGATATGTATATTTACTTTCTGGGTTGCAGCAATCCTTATTCCTGTGGCCTCTAGACATTTATGTCACACAGTAGAATTTGGGAGGCCCCCAGGTCTCATTAAATTTGGGATCTGTGTTCAAATGCCATGGTTGCTGCGTGTTGCCTGAATGTTTGCATTGATGATGCTGACAGTCTAAACTGTTGTAAATACTACAGATTTTATATTGTGGAGAGTTAAATACATTGTAAATGCACAAGCACTGTAGATGACAGAAGGCCAAATAGTCTGGTAGTCTTATGATAGAAGGCAGGGCAGAGTGATACCTTGGAGACTAACATGTTCAAAAAATGCATAAGCTTTCCTGGGCAACAGCCTATTTCGTCAAAAGCTAATAGCAGTATGTGTTGCTGCCACACAAGAACCAAAGTAAGGTACTGAACTTCTCAGCTCAACAGCATAGCTTGAAAGAACTGCAGGGCAATATGGTAAGCCTTTAATATAGTGTTGGTGATGCTTATATAACATTAGACTGAGACTGTAAGATACCTGTTTTGCATGTCCTTTTGCCCTCAGTTTTTGCAGCTGTGAATTAGGGATAATTCTTATCTGTTTTGTAAATTATTTTGAGCTCCACAGATTAAAGGTGTTAATATAAGTGAAAGACAGGATTGTAACTTTGTCTAGCTAATTAACATGCAGTCTTTTTTTCCCTTTTCTTTTTTACCTTTAGATTTCTTAGTGCAGTTTCTTGAGCAACAAGTTTGTTCTTTGAATTGGGATGTGGGATTTGTAACATACACTATGCAAGAAATTGGAGTGCCACTGCCTAAGCTTCTTGAAGTATATGATCAGTTGTTCAAAGCGCGGGTAAGGAAAATAAGTATGAAAGTTTTTTGGTGTGTTTTGTATAAAGACAATGAGATAAATTAAAACACTTCCATAGACTTTTTTTTTTTTAAAGATTGAGAATACATTTACTTAAAAGCCCTCACTGCGTCTCTCTATCAGTTTGTTCATTCAGATCCCAGCATGTGGGGAAAGCTGTTATATTCTGGTGTTCCTACTACTTCAGCTCAAGCTGATATGATTCTGTCATAAATATAATTAGATTTTCCATATTTCAGCTTGATTTGGTTTTCCTTTTTCTTAGGAGTTATTCTTAAAAAAAAACCCCAAAACAAATCTAGTTCTTGTGCATATCTGCAAAAACTGTTAAATGTTTGCATTATGCTTTTTACTTATTTATTTCTCCGGACTCTGGCACTGGTTATGAAATCTTACCACTGTATTGCAATGTGTACTTTCACATTTAAAGTAAAAAAGAGAATCTGTTTGGTTCATTTTACCGATTAAAAATCTGTGAAACGTCTTGCAGCTGAATATCTGAAACACTTGGATAATAATGAACTACTTGCAGTTAGTTTTAACGTATTTTATAGTACTCAGTAGTAAGGGGGTTGTTTTTGGCTATAGCATAACATCTACTTTTTGTTTTACCTCTGGCAAACACAGCCAAGCAGTGAGTGTTATAAAAGACTTTAACATATTAAAATCTAATATGCAAATAAATATAATTCTCATTTCTATTATACTTTTGCTGCAATAAATCAAACCGTAATACAGTTTTTGTGTACTGGCAAATTTAATATTTCTATATTAATGCATTGGAATTACCTTGGACCCCTAATATGATGTAATTTTCTTTTAGGATCCATACTGGAACAGAATGAAAAAACCTTTACACCTTTTGGAGTGTATCCATGTATTATTATCAGGATATGTCCAGGATCCTAGCAAAGTGCTTAATTTTGAGAGGTAACTATATATTATAATCAAGCATTTTTCAACATTTATATTTTAAAAAATACTGTAAAGCACTTCATTTGTATAGGAAACTGCAAAGCTTCTTTGAGCTGTTGATTTTAAAATCTCAAGTTAATGATCACTGAAAGTCATTATTTTCAGAGCTGTTCAGAAGTATGTAAGTAGGATCTAGGATTTTGATGTTTAGATGGCTTGTTATTTTTTTGGTTTTCAGTTTTAAAACAGACTTATGCCTCTGTCTCAAGATGTAAAAAGGGGCTTCTTCAGTTTAAATAAGAAATTGGTCCCCTCTTGCAGACATGCTCCCAAGGATGAAAATAATTTTAATTGTGGTATATCTGTAGGGACCGTGGGTCGTTTCTGCAAACATCTTTGAATCCTACAAATACAATAAACTTGGGTACTTTGGATGTAAACTGTATAGACATTATTTTTAGTTTCATACTTAACTCTTGCTGTTAAAATCCATATTTTATAAAGATTTTACTCATTCCCGTACTTAAACTCTCAGCATAAAAGCAAAGAAAGTAAAATTTTTGCCCTACTGAAGTCTGGGAATTTTCCTAATAACTTAAGCAGAACTGGGATTTTATGCATGGAGTATAGGTTCTTTAATTCTCAAGAATGGATTGAAAACAAATCCTTTGGAACGTGGATAAAACACATAAGCAGGCCAGTGCAAAGAGGCTTTCAGTGACTATCCATACTGTGTCTGGTCTATTAAATAAATATTAAATAATATTAAATAAAGGAAGAAGAGGTTAAAGAACATTTAAATTAATAAAAATGTATTCAAAGGTAGCAGGGCCTGATAAAACGGACACTTGAGTACTTAAAGGACTAGCTAAAGGAATCTGTGAACAGAGCAATTATCTTTTAAGAACAAGTGTGGTTAGTTCCAGAGAGCTGGAAAGTGGGAGGACCCAGAGAAACTTAAGTTCCTCAAAGGCACTGGAGGCAATTAATCAGTCAGTTTACAATCTCACTGGATAATAAGATGATAAAAAGCAGCCTAGAAAGATGTCAAAAACAAATGTCAAACCAAATTTATTTACTCTTTGCCAGGGTTAATATCTTTGTTTCCTGCTGTTGAATCATTGGATTCTCACCACTTATTTTCAGTTTTACCTTCTTATGTTTATAAATTTCCACAAATGGTTAGCTGCTTTGCAAAAACAACAGTGATTTGGAAGCAGTCAACATAATTCTGGTGGGTCATCTTTGAATGAAAGGGGACTTCTAAAATATGTATTTGCCTTTCAGGTCATTTGGTATCTAATATTAGATATTAGTCAAACAAATATCTCGCATCTGAACTGACAAACTGGACACTTTTATCTTGCATTTTTAATGGCTGAAAATATTAAATCACAGGTGAATAGTAATGATTCATTAGGTTTCCACTAACACTTCACTCACATACGTCAGAATTAAATATTTGGGGTTTTATTTAACTATTGCATTTACTCAAATATAAGACAGTCATGAATATAAGATGCCTCCTGCCCAAAAAAATTATAATTTTTTCATAATTTTCCAGGTATAGAATCTGATTTGTGGAGGTTTGCCTTGAATTTGTCCCCCTCCCACTGATACAGCAGGGAAAATAAATCTAGGGAGGCAAGTAACCCTCTTGCCTTCTGCCCCGCAACCCTCAACATTTTGCCCTGGGAGCCCCTTCCCTACTGTCAGACCTTACTGTCCCTGTGCACATGAAAGTGAGAAGCAAATTTGAAAACACTGATCTAGAAATAAACATGCCTGTAGGGAATGTAGTGCTTGTATCATGCATGTAGGG